AACTATGACGACCAGTCTGCAGTACTCTCCCTATTCTAACCACATTCAGGCACTACTAGCAACAGAGACCATTAAATGTAGTAATCGGAAAAGCAGTAAGAAACAAGAGATTCTTTTGCCGTGGGAAGAGTAGCCTTCACTTGTGTATGCCCAAGATGAATGCAAACTGGGTGGAAAATAAAGTAGTAACTTGTGGCTTCTGATTCATTCGGTAGGAACCTGGCAATAGCAGAAATTAATACTTGCTAGAGATTTGTCTTTTTCTATGCCCACTCTCGGAGAGCAAATATTTGCCGAGATAAACTTCCTAACACCTATATTAGACATGCCTTGATACTGTCACACTCCCCATTCCCCCTGCTCTTCTAACCCAACACTGTTCAGTGGTTTTAGAGGTAAAGTTTTCTCGTTATTTTCACAACTGACTGGGAGATAACTATTTACAATCTCATTTTCAAGGGAAGGTCCTTTTAAGTCTTCTAATAGTCCTTTCAAGCAATACAAAATATTCAGTGTTCAGAACGAAAGCATCTCTTAGCGCCGATACCAGGCCTCAAGTTTTATTTTTGCTGATAGCCAGCAGCGTGATCGTACACAGGCTACAACAGCCGCTCCTGCTTTGAGCGAGAGGTTGGACTGAGCGATCTCCTGATGTCCGTTCCTACCCGAGTTATCCTACGATACACTTCGTGAAGTCAAAATAGCACTTGCAGGGGTTGGGATTTTGGGATGGTTCCCCCCCCCCCCCCCCCCCTCCGCTGCTACAAAGAATCTCCTCTACTTATCAAAAAAAGTATAGATGAAAGCATAAGTTTTGTCACACGGGCAATCTCCTGCCATGAAAAATGGATTTCAGACCTCCATTGAAAAGGAAAAAAACTATCCCCTGTTCAGGATGAAGACAGAATCTCTTCATATCCAACAGGAACATGCATATCTTCAGCATTCAATATCAGCAGAGAAAGATAGAAAACTATCCTCCACCCCCGCAAAAGCATTAACTAAAATGTTGATAAAAATTCAGATTTTTAGGAAGATGTTTTTGATTTATTAAATCGCAAAGGCAATATTTAGCAACAGTATTTTTCCTACTTCTTCTTCCCTTTTCCTCAAGCTGAAAGTCTAAGCTATATCCATGTAGTATTTGACAGTATTGTTGGATTATGATAAATGTTTCCGGTTAACAAAGAAAATTCTATAGACAAAGGCTAAAAAAGAAAACCATGAAACAGAAAGACATCTTGGCATTTAAGCTACCTACAACTGGAAGAGCAGGAGTTGATTAAAAGTATTCTCAGCTTTCAACCTAAATTGCCATTCTAAGGCAGCAATTGGAATATGTACGTTTTAAGTGGTGGTATTGCTTAGAAAAGCTAGTCCTGTGAACGTTTAAAGACTGGTCAATAAAGTATCTGGTATTCAGTTCATCAGCCTCAATCCTCAATTTTATTTTCTCAGGAAGAGCAGAAGAGTCATATTAGCCATAGAGAAAAACAACCTATGTAATCCAAAGGTACTGACAACTATTAAAGCTGAGGATGAACATGAGAAAAACGCACCACAAAAGCTTCACGTAGCATTCGCCCCAATTCTCCCAGCTGAAAAGACACCATCATTATGGGCTCATTATTTAGCATCAAAATTGACTTTCACATATAATACTCTGCACTGAAACATCTTGTTAAAAAAAAAAAAGTTTCCCAAGAAACCAGGTTCCTCATTTACTAACCTTCAACATAAAAAAGTGAATTATATTGCAAAGATTCAAAATAAGAACAAGAAAAAAAAAAACGGTGCAGTTACTTAGATGTGACTTCCACGGCAAGAGAATAAAGTTTGCTTAGGTGGAAAAAAATCTTCATATTATAGCAACGTAATAAGAAACGTAAAGGAGGGCAGAGTGACTGCAGCGAGCAGTCAGAAGCAACTTTATCAATGGAGGGTGAATTCAACTTGGAAATTTGGCAGGAAGAAGAATCAGATAGTGACAGCATACTTGAGTAGGCAAACCTGGAAAGGGTTTAAGACAAGATTAGATCAGCTGGTAGAATTTCTAACATGGAATATTCTGTTTGATGCAGCACTGAACTAGAAAATACAGATGTCTTTGCCAAAACTGTCAACTTGGACTCTGCACAGCCTTGTTTTAAGCCGAAATGCTGTTACTTAAAAACTATTTTTAACTATTTTAAAAACTATTTTATTAGCAGGCTTGATTATCAGATAGCAGCTGTCTCAGCTTATCTCCGTACTCAGTCTGCCAACAGATGTTAACAAGTTAGGACATGGTCAGGAGCAGAAATACTTCCTCCCCCACCTCCAAGTTTCTATAACATTTCCCTAACTAATGTGGACCTTAATGCGAATTATTAACTCTGGGTAGTAAGTTCTCACCACAATAAGATAAAATGCAAACGCTGTTTCTTCAGCAATTCTGCAACATGCCATCTTCCCCGAATATAATCACAAAAAACCCAATTTTTGGAGTATAAAAATTGCACTTGCATTCCTAAATTACACCGAAACACCTGCCGTCTTTGGGATGATAAAGCCAGTGGAGTGATATTCCATACGCAAACAGTTACACAAAATGCAGACGAAACACTTGTCTATTTTCTGATCCAGAATCTTGAGGAAGTTGTGGTAAGCACTGTTTTAAATATGCTTATGAATTCTTGAGAAAAAGTTGCTCCTTGAGTTGACCTTGAAGATGAAGCATCTGAAAGGCGAAACCCCACCTGCCACTTGTGACCAACTCTGTCCTGGGACTGATGAAGTCTGGAAATGAGCCAAACTAAAGAGCCTGCCCATTTTTGCATGTATAATCACGGCTCCAACATGAAGTGAATTAGCTAGATCCCAACAACCGGGTGGGGACAAGGGTGGTGGTTCCATCTGGGTTCGCAAACTAACGTACCCCAAAATTTCTACTCCTAGGCTGCCTGGTAAGTAAGGACTTAAACCAATTATGCCTGGGCATCTCCACCAGTGAAACTAAGTGAAGTCCCCTATGTTAAAGATTAAACAAAGAACCCAGCTTCCTCTCATTTCAAATGAGGTTGCCATGTTTTCCCCACTGCTGGGTACGAACTCTCCAGAAGCAGTGGAGTATTTCACATTTCAAGCTACCTGAAAAGCTAGAATGGTAATTTAATCACAAGTCATGATTTCTCCTCCTCCTTCCTCAACTTAAACCTAATTAGTAGAAAGACTGGTATTTAGGAGGACAAGGTGCACAGAAGACCACTGTCTTCTGTACTAGGAAGCACGTGTAAACATCCTAGGGAGACAAGGCGCACAAAAGTCTCAAGATTCACCCCCAGAACATCTTACTGGACTTTTGGTAAATGAAGGACTACGGAGCTGGCTGATGCAGAAATGAGATAGTACCACCTAAAAAGTGGGAACCCTGGAACATTAATTACCTCAAATAAATATAGAGTAAAAAAAAGGCAGCAAGATGTTAGGATTAGGAGTCAAGAATTCACTTTATATCACCTCATTCAAGCAGAGCTGACCCAAAAGAGAGGTAAGGGATGTTCAGAGAATGCAGAATTTGCTTCCACCTACCCTGTAAGGGCCAGTTATCAGACTGTAAACTCTCTTATTCATTTTAATCAGCATCCATTATCTACCACAGCAAGGACACAGTCTATGACTTGTGCTCATAAATGACAGGATTCCACCCATAAGGGTGTTTCCCCAAACGAAATGGAGTTTTAAAAAAAGATCAGTAGGACAGAACCCATGAGACCGCCACAAGCTCACAGCAAGTCATGAAACGATTGAAGTCATCCTTCTCACAGCAAGGAGGACTCTAAAAAGAGCATTTGTTAATGTTATTTTACATAAGAAGCAAAAAAAAAAAAAAAAAAGCTGTTGGACGACTGTATTTGGACCCAGGGCATTATTTACACAATAACTACTTCAAGGTGGTGACAGCCTAGGCAATAACAAATACAAGGCATGTTCTTCTAAGGGTTCATGCCATTTAAATAAGAAAAAATATCCCAAAGACAGTCATATTGTTTTCAGAGGGGAGCTAGCAGGAAAATAATCTTTTTTGCATACTGGATTGTCTTCTTCCTCATATTGGGAGAAAAAACGCTCTGTTAGAGTATCTATCATAAGTTATAGAGTTTAAGAACTAGAGGGTTATTTATGTCTAAAGAACACTTGTTCCAGTGTTTCCTTGCAATACTAAATTGCAGTATCCGTACTCTCTCCCTTGTTCTGACAATAATGCTGCTCCTTTTCCTCCCAACCGAGAGATTAACATTCTGCATTTCCCCCTTGTTCCTCTCCTGCAGGGATTCAGTTAAAGCCAAAAATTGAGCCTGTATTTCTGGAGCCATTTTTGTGCTGCAATATCAATGCAGCAGCTGAGATGTCCTGAATATGTACAATAAATGCATTTGTTTCAGTTGTGTTAAGACAGTGATGGAACGTTGCATTAAGTACCATCAGCATGAGTCTATACAATACGTGACTGATTTAAAGCATGTGACTTTCATCAAGCAATGTGATTTCAATACACATGCGGTTTTCTGCTGCAATTCAAGCTGTTTTGGCACCAGAACTAGTTTCAGATTTGGATAAAGACAGAATGGAGATGTACAGATGTGAAAAAACTAACATACAAATGAGTGAATAAGAAAATTTATCTCAAATGAGTGTGTAAGCTCATCTTAGAACAATATCTGATGTTGATAAGCACTTTGAAGAACATATTTTAATTCAGCAATTCCTTGTATTTATAGCAACCTCTGCGCTTTTAACATCCTTATGTAGGCACATAGCAACAAAAAAGTGTGCATGTGTATGTTATGTGTGTGTGTATATAAATATATGTGTGTGTATATATATATATGGAATGTGTTTTACTGAGCCAAGACATTAAAGTGCAATTCACAAATGATTTCCAAAACTTTTTTTTTTTTAAAGTTTAAATAGATATTTGACAACTTTCCCCTTCTTCATCTCAAATCAATAACACTCACCAGGGACCTGTGATTCTATCATTCATTCATCTGGTTAGCTCATTACATGCATTTTATGTATGTGAGGCATACACAATATGAAATGAAGGGATTCACTCCTCCTCAGCCTGCAGGACATTCTGATCACGTCCTGAACAGGCAACCAGACCAAATCCTGCAACAGAGAAGGATGATGCTAGTTAGAGGTGTGAAGAAGGAGTGGAGTGATAAGCTTCATCTGAAAAATTTTAACATACTGCTGCCACCGAATATAGCCTCCTTAAGAACATATCCAACCAGAGTCAGTGAAATGGTTAGTCCATCAGATAACGTTAATCATTTCCAAGGTGTTTTCCTCATACACTAAACTTTGCTTCCTATTAAAATGTTATACTGCTTATGGCCCCAAAGCTTCTCATCCTCACTTCAATCTTTGTGAGAAGGAGCATGGAACCGCCCAAGACCGAAATTAGTAGAAGAGGGACTTTTACCCGCAGTACAGCCATGCACCAGAAGAGTCTCTAACACATTCAGAGAAACAATGTGCCCCTTCCCCAGTGCCAGCACAGCCCTGCACGCGTGGCAGAGCCTTCTGAGCTCCTACAGATGACGGGGAGCCCAACCAGGAGTTGAGAATGCTGCATTAACAATATTATTTTGAGGTACACAGCTTTTACTTGTACCATATCAGAGATGAAGCAAATGCATACTATGATGGCATTCAGAAGTTCAGTGTACAAGATATATGCATTTTGCTATACCTTTGCCAAGAAATACTTCAGACAGTACATACTAAGTGTGCGAATTAGCAATTTTTACTTTAGTTATTTACCTTCTCGCCAGACAGACGTTATCCTGCAATTGCCAATGTTCTAAAGCAGTCTAGTTGCTCCAACAGCAGCACGCTGCCAAATAAAAACTGGCAGGAGAAAATGGCATTCGCCAGCTTCAGGTACTACCCACCCCCCACTGTTTCATAGGTATTCTTTTCTAAAAAGACTGTATTCACCCATACAGACAAGAAATCACAGGAGATGATAGTTCCGTGGCAGAAAAATGAGAAAGCAAATGTCATGAGAGATTCCTCTCGTGGATCCGGAGTGCCCTTGCTCACAATATGAGAGCAGAAGTTGAGTTTCATGACTGAATAAAAAAAAAAAATTAAAAAAAAAAAAAGAACCACCACTCCACCACCACACAACCCCCTGAGGTAACAAGCTCCCAATCCTAAACTATTGTACTCTGCTCCTGATGCAATTTCAGTCCCTGAGAATATTCTCAAAGAACATGAATCTCTAATGTAAAAATGGTAAAAAAACCACCTTCTTGTTCAATATGTTGTCTGAACACAGACAGGGTTTTATTTATAGTTATTACACCTATAGCCTTTTTTATAAATTAATTTTATTACAAGTTTTTATAAATTTTGTCGTTTTATTAACTTTTTATTTACAGAAAAGTGTCAATAACAGTAGATAGAACATATATAAAGGTAAATATTATTAAAAATGTGAAATGATGACACGCAATCAACTGCACTGTTATACACATTCACATTTCAGTCTGTAATCTTCCCCCCCGGGCAGCACCTGTTCTCATTGAGAACTACTGAAGTACTCTTCACTATCACTTGCAAAAGCGCCTTTTCTTTCATATTTGAGAACGTGGGAAAACCATATGATAGATTATGCATAAACTCTCAAACCCCCCTCCTTCTACCTTATCTGCAGCACAAAGATGCCTTTTTATAACAAAAAAAAAAAAAAAAAATCAAATCCTTCATCACATATGAGCTCCTACAGAAGTGAAGAATCACTTCTTCAAAGCTGTGCCCATATCCTCCCACAAGTGGCTTTCAAGCACTGCTTTGAATTTTTGCTTTTAAATCATCTTTGCTGAGGGTGGGGGGGGGGAGAGGGGGGGGGGGGGAAGAGAAAGGGACATTGAGAAAAGGAGCTGTAAAAGTGATCTAATCTGCAAGCACCACAAGGAGCCCCTCTTCACCAGTATTTGTACTTCGCAAAGCCCAGCCTCCAAATGCTTTACATTAGGCCCTAAGAGGTCAAATGGATATAGAACAGATCCTGCAAATCCAGAACTATATATTAATAGCACATGTATTAGTTGCTTGTGCACTTAATTACCTTCAGAACCTGCAGTGCCTCTGCGCCCCTCGCTACCGCGGAGCCTCGGGATGTCAGCCTACCTAAGTCATTTTTATGTATTTAAGGTGGCCTAAGAAACTCCAGCCCCATTCAGCATTTGGAACATAGTTTTAAATTTACCTCAAAGGTGGGAAACAGTAAAAAAAAAAAAAAAAAAAAAAAAACACCAAACCTTTAGGCACTCCACACTGCCGCATCTTTTGGCCATCACTCGCTTGCATAAAGCTAACCCACGTGCACCAGGAAAAGAAAGCCACTACCTGACTCCGAGCTGCGAGACCAGGCCCAAGGTCAGCAGGAGGCAGGAAATGTAAAATTCAGGTTCCGGCTGACCCTTAAGTAAACACGTTAGACGTCCTGCATATTTTGCTATGCATAGGCCAAGACAGTAAAATATCAAGTTACATACTATTCTATACACATTTTCCATAGATTGTACAAGCAATGCAACGCGAGAGCGCTAAAGCTGCTTTTGGATGCTTCACTATTACTACTTCTGTTGATTTCTGGGAACTCGGAATGAAACATATTGAATTAACTGCCACGGTTTTCACACTGAAAACACAGTAACAGTGCAAGGGGGAAAAACTCTTTTTTTTCTTTTTTAAAAATAAAACCTACACTTTTTCTGCTTCCCACAGTGGAACATTTCGCCTTCTTCAAACCTTAGATTTCATCCAGACAACATATAGCAGCAGATTACTCTCACTGTGACATTTACAGCTTGAAGCATTTCATTCGACAGTCAGAAACCGGGTTACTGACTTCAGCTTTTTCAAAACCCTTTTCCTCGTAGTCCCCTCGCTCCGCTGAACGGGTCATTTCACGGCCTTTCCGACCAGATCGTGGGTGCCAGAGTACCGCGTCTCTCGCCAAGTCCCTCTGCTACCCGACGCACCGCCCCCGCTGGACCTCTGGCTGCAGAGTCGCAGCGCAAACCCCAAAGGCTCATCATCACCCACAGCTAATAAAGCCCTTATTTCAGCAAACAAAGTAAACAGATGACTCGGAAAGCTCAACGCACGTAGTCATAAAACTCCCAGCTGCCCTGGCACCCGCCCAAGGTCAGCCACCCATCGGCGTGTTAAAATTCAGTGTCCAAAAACTGATAAGACGTCACCGAGGACTATCTTGCCAGCCTGCCTAGAGTATTTTTACAATGATTTGGATGACACCGGCTGTCTAAATGGAGTAGTTTTTAACCTAGAATTAGCAAAATCTGGAAAGGCTCAGTTTCACCATGTGACTCTTGCAAGAGAAATAAAATATCAACAGCACTTCCAACCAGAGGAAGAAGAAACTGCCACAACCTCCACCCTAAGCACGGGTAGGCAGGACAGACGGATGTGAATAAGTGGCTCCTGCCTTTCAGCTGACATTTAGGTGGTAGGTGTCTTGCTACTTGGTTCCCAGCTGCACCTCTTCTCAGTAAGTACTCCTGGGTTATCCCACCCGGGATGAAAACCAAGGCCTTTTTCCACTTTCTTTCAAAGCCCTGCTTCAGAGGCAGCAGCAGCATCTGGAGAGGAGGGAATGGTCATGTTGCACCAGGCAGGCTGCAAAAGTCACCTTGAATCTGGCGAGAAAGAACTGAAGGAGGATCACGCAACACCTACAGGAAGCTGCAGTTCAGTAGCAGGCCCAAGCAATTTGCAAAATAAATATATAGGGTTTAAGGTCCAAAAAAAAAATTTTAGCCATAGCCAACTGGACCCTTCTTTGCACCTGCAAGAACACTTGCGGGAATTGGCAGGGCTTAACTCTAAGGCAGATCTTTACTTCTAACTTTAACTATATTGCAGCTTGTGACTCATGAACTATATTATTCAACATTCACGTGAAAAATAGTATCTATCTTATTAACCATAGTTAAGAGTGGATCAGCGCTTTTTAGCGTTTAACCAAACAGGCTACTAATAGTCTTTGCCATTTATCAAAACAAAATCTTTAAAGCACAAAGTATGTTCAATGTAGTATATTTAATACTCAGTGAAGGAGGATTTTGTTGCTTTCAACACTGAAATGCCAAACAGAGAAACTAAAACAAAGCACTTCATCTAGAAACCAAACAAATAATTACAAAGAGGAACAATGCCAAAAGGAAACAGAAGAACAGCTGCATTATTTAGCCTTTATTAACAGTAGAAATAACACCTTATTTCATTTACTAAGAGTTATTTGTTATCACCTGAAAAATAAAACAAAGTCTACTGGTTTACAAATGGAAACTGTCATATCAAAGCGCAATCCCAGTAGAAGAATATTTAGGACCTAATTATCAGGTGTTCTCAGCACAACATCTGCAGATCCTACTGATCTCAACTAGGCTGCAGGTGTCCAGCCCTCAGGAACCCAGGTCATTAAAGGCTACTTTTATTACAAAGCCCTCATAAAAACCACACACACTGTTGTGGAAAATCATGAGAGATCCAGAACAAGTTGTAACCACCATACTAAGCTTTTCTTACTATACTATTTTTTAAAATAGCTTTTATACCATCCCAAACCCTATTTCTTGCATGAAATGCTGTATAAAAAAGCCACGGTAAGACCTAACAGCTAATACCAGATCCAAGTTTAGTATTATTTTTACAAAAAGGTATGTCGCATCTTATTTCAGGCTTGCATCACAGAACAGCGGGAACTACCTGACATCTAGAACTGCCTCTTTTAGATACAATAAAATCCTAGAAACGTGCAATGTGCTGAAATGCATCACTTTTACAATTGTTGAATGAGAGCTGTGAAATGCCTCTGGAAGTGGAAGATCCTTGGTATGTCCTGATATGAGCAGGACGTACCAAAGGCTATTAACTGCTCAGTCATAAGACCCTTGTTAGAGAGCCCTGTGCTAGCTGCGCACAGGCCTACTGTATTAGCCCAATTGTGGCAACAAATCTGACTGCTTAACATGCAAATTCCCTTGGTCAGTCTTCCACA